CAAACATGACAGTCTGACATAAATGTGACTAGAACTGATACAATTCTAGCAAATAATCAACCAAATGGGAGTAGGCTGGGCAAAGGTATTTCAGCAGCTCCAAGCAGAAGGCCACAGCCAGCAGAACTGATGCTATTTAGAAGAGATACTTTCTGAAGGAAACAGAAAAAGCTAATGTGAGATATGAAATGAAAACATACTGATGCTTTTTTGTTTTTTTTTGAGGGTGCAGACAGTGCACTGGTGCTTGCGTTCTCTGGGTACTCCACTCCCCCCCCCCCTTTTTTTTTTTTTTTTAAGAGGCGTTAATTCCATATAAAGAACAGTCGTGTGTGCTTAGTTCAGTGTTTCATCTTTCTACACAAAGCACCTACTAAAAGAAAGCTTCAAGGCAGATGTTCGAAATATCAACTGGAAACTCATCCGTAAGCTTTTACAAAAGTACACTCTGCATTTATGCAAGTATACCCTGACCAAAAAAACCCCACCAAAACTAAAATCCTAATGAATCCACATGGCTAGTCTCATCATTACAAAACTAGGTCTGTAATAAGCTTGCATAAAAACGTTTCAAGACTAGACCTGACCATCAATCAGCCTCTATCCTGTTTCTTGCCAAAGTCTTCTGAGGGGACCAAATCCCAGGTCAGCTTAGATGGCTGGCTAAAGAAAGAGTAGAAAGGAACATTTTCTGATCCTTAGTATCATAGTTTAAAGAAAAGATCACCCTCTTTCTAGTAGACCAAAATGTAAGAATACTCTATACAGATGCAAATCAACCACATATACCAGTACAAAAACCTGGGGATGGGCTATTAAATTCATTATAAGATGCCCTGGATCCACTGTACTTGCATTCCAATGCTACACTTTTTTCCTTTTCCAGCAAGTGAAGCAGAACCTCTACCCACCAAACATCTGCAAGACCTTCTATGCAGTTTTCAGCCTCCTTACTTCCAAAAATTGTTGGTGCCCCTCTGGCACCAGTCACAAAACTTCTCACTTCTAATCCGAATACTGGAACTATAAGTAGCTGCTCTCTACAGCATACAAACAAAAAGGTCACTGCAAGTCAATCAGAGACTAAATCCCAATTCTGACCCACCCTTCTGCTTAATTATTATTATTATTACTTTTTAGAAGTTCTTTAAGTCCCTCCATGTGCTCCTTCACATGAAGCATTCAAGCAAGCAGAACTAACGTAACAAAGAAGCAATGAATCCTGAACACATTATGCAGGAAAAAAAATAGGAGTTAAAAAGTGTGTTTTAAGAATTCCTAAAGTTATACTTACATACCTGAATCTAAGTATGACTGCTTTCAGAAAGTGCTTGGAACATGCACTTGCTTTACCGGTGAATGCTTCATTGCCTGACTATGAAAGCCTGCTCTTCAAATGATCATGGAGTGGATTTATGTGCTTGGGAACTTGCAATCCTATTACATTCAACAACTTTTCAACATGTTGCACCAGGCCTATCTAAAGATTATGGAGCACAACTGCACACCATTTGTTTTTTTGGCTTAACTGCAACTATTTTTCCAAGCTAAGTATGACATTTATATATAAGTATTATTATTATAATAATACATAGCAATACATACATATGTACATGTATTACTACGAAAACAACCTCAGCAAAGGGTTGAATCACCACATGTGTGCAATTAACTCCAGACGCAAACTGAGGTACTCCAGCAGGCCAGCCTGAGGCATCTCCACAACTCCCCAGCCAGCATCTTTTACCACTCATAGGCAAGGGGAGAAAATACTAGAATCATTTCTGTTAACTTGCATAGTTTGTGCAATTCACTGCACAACTGTACAAAACCAAGTAGAGATTACTTTCTGTATATTTTTATGCTATCTTCAGGGACTGTATCTTATTTAAAATCTAGTAGAAATTGATGACAAATAAGACACCGATTATACTTTTCCTCCTATTCTGGCCATCTGATTAAGAAAAACAGTCAAGGCAAATTTCAGCTGCTCAGTTATATTTTTCCACATTCACTAACAATGTGACCCACGTAGCGACCTACTTTCTGTAAACTGGATTTTTAAGTAGAAATTGGTACTCTACCTGAAACATTCTTTAAGTGCTGTTCCTCATGCACACGCTGGGCTCTACACTGCTAGGTTAAACAGCTACTCACTAGCTGGTTACAGCTAGTCCAGGAACAGCTCAACTCTCCTACAATAAAAGGGCAACGGCTAAACTTGAATAAAATACTAAGTTGCCCTACTGTGAGCATTTTGGATTTTATCTCCTCAATCAAAAACTTAATTTCACACTCAAAAGTTCTCAGTCAATCCTAAGAGTAATGCTAACAACGGTTCTCCTTCACAATGCACCTTTTAAATATCTCCACAAGACTGGATTTCCACACCACCTCCCAGCACACAATCAGGTCACCTGGTTACACCTGGGCAAGTCCCGTCTACATACTAGTACCCAGCAGCTGCAGCTGAAAAGAAGTACAAGAAGCATTTAATAAAATCTTATAATAACAGCAGTCAAATTCTTATGAGCTTTTCTAAAAACTGATGTGATATGCATTTTCTTCTGGTTTCACTGCAAATCCAACTTACTGGGAAAAGGCTTAGCAACAAAGCCTGTAAGAATCTTCAAAGCACGTATCAAGATTATTTGTACAGACTGGTTTTTTTTCTTTCAAATAACTGAAAGAAAGCTTTCAATGTCTCCATTTTAATAACTTTGTATTCTAGGTTCTGAAACCATAGGATTTCTTGTATGCCATTTGGACACATCTGGCTAAAATATTTTTAAATTAGTACGTTTTTACAATATTGACTTCTTGTTTTTAAAACAGTCATAAAGGCATTGCCCCATGACTTGTGGTTTAGAAACAGCTAAAAAATATATCTCATCTTACTAAGTTTAGCATCATGGTGAGACGCTTTCATAGTCCATTTCACCAAAACGTTCAGCGTTTCTGATGTTATGCATGGACACTGTGGGTTCTCAACTATGCACTTCAGGTAACTTACGTCCTGCTTAACAAGAAGTGAAATTGCTTCTGGCAGGTTCTTGGCAATACCAGCTAAAGTATTTGCAGGTAGGCCAATAGTCATATAGAGAAAGAAGGATGGAACTCACCCAACTGGTGAAGGGGCTCTATGGCTATACAGTACTCCTTCACAGGAAACAGCCTACGTCAGAACTACACTTTCCCTTCAGTGGCTGGCCCATAGATGAGCACAAAATGGCTGCACCCTGAGTTTACCTCTTTTGGATACATGGGAAGCACAGGTGCAAACAATTTGCCTGTGCTCCCTGGATCAGCCACAGCCCTTCACCAGGTGCTCAATCATCAGTTCAAGCTGCGACCTAACAGTTCCCCTACAAATTGTTTCTTCTAAAGAAGTGAAAACAAATACACAGCCTCTTCAAATCCTCCAAAACAAAGCATTTCTTAACAAAGATGTGAAATGAGATCCGCTGGCATCAGAACTTTCTAGCTGTTTAATAATATGTCAAGCCTCTCAACTAGTCATGCATCAAGTACCTGCTCTTCTCCCACTTCTGTGGGAGATGTCAAAACTTAAACATACACTGGGAAACTCTCAAGGGCAATGACACTGTTCATAAGCGACTTTTTTTTTTTGGTCACACTTTGTACCTCATCAAACAGGAATACGTCCAAGTATATCTGGCCACTTGTTCAGTTAAAACAAAAGCTCAACAAAAACCTCACAACTTGGTCTGCGGTTCATCCACAGCCAATCGTCGTAATGCTTTTAAGGAAGGTTTGCTCACAGCTAGTCATTACAAACAGTACTAAGCTTAAATTTGTTCGCAATAAAGATCTTGTTCAGCTCTCAATACAATGGGAAAGCTATAGAGCTGCTCATCAGTCTCCATTTAGCTATATGTAGCAATGCATTTCAAATGATATTTAACACGGCAAGATTGTAATTGCCTGCAAAGCCTGTGTGTGTCACTATATCACAACTGCCATACGTAAGTGAACTGTCTTCTTTTTAACACATACATAAAAATCTCAATTAAGTAAAAACAGACTAATGGTCACGTTTATATTTTTATCTTTTTCAACATCACTTTGCACATTTCCGGGAGAACATGACTATGTATCTGCATCAGCACTTTAAGAGGTTGCACTGATTAAGTTACACTGTGTAGAAGCATAGGCAGTAGCATTTATGAGAAAACAATGGTTGAGATGACACAGTAAACCATCTTTAGGAGTCTATCTTACCGCACAAGGCTCTAACATTTTCTTTTGATATGAGCAAGATCCAGATGCATATTTGCAGTTTAAATTTGCTCATTTTAAATGGACGCACAGCAGTGAAAACTATGCCCACAGATGATAACCCTGTTTGAGAGAAACAAGTAAGAACCTACCTGTTTGAAGAGGAACACTTGACAACACTGACAAGCTGCTTCTTCACTGATTTCTACTGGAGTTTTAACCAGCGTTCACTCATCAGTAGAGCGTCCTCACAAAACCAGTAACTGAAAGTTGCACGCAGCTAAGTCTGGCTCTCCTTTCACCGCTTTCAATTTTACAACTTGCATTTTCAATTTAATATTCATACCCTTTGAAAATCCTAGAGCTCTGTCAAACCCAAAGCACAAAGTCCTATTCTGGCTTTTAAGGTGAAAATGTGACATGTCATCAAGAGTTACCGTGTCTCTGTTACTGAATATCCTTTGGACAAAATGAAGGTAGGAAAGTTATTACTGGAAACAAGGGGAGAAACCAGCTTAGAAATTAAATGAAGCCGAAGAACGGACTTCTAGTCCGTTACTTACACAGCATTACACTACAGGTTGGAAACTATTGTTTTCCTTAAGAGAAAGAAGGAAAATGGTATAAAAATAGTTGACTATAATTCATAATAACAACACTCTGAATGCTGTCACATTTTAAACAAAAAAAAAAAATAAGCAGAACCTGTAAAACAAGTACTGATGTCATAAAACAGAACAAAACTGCCTTTTATCAATTGTTCAGTAAGAGATGTCAGTCTAGAAAACTTCTTCTGAGGCATTTATACTTCAATATCAGAGATGTTCAAGACAGCTGAAAAAATACTACTGAAACCTAAATGTAAGTGTCAGTCAGTGCTCCATTATAACAACCCAAATTGTTATTAAATAATAAATAAATCACACGCACAGAGCCAGTAGACGTTTCAAGGAAGGGTGGGTTAAGAATAGGAAAAGAATTATCAGTCCTTCCAAAATTCTTTCCCCTAATTTAAGTGCCTTTTGAGAGACTAAACAAACAAGGTTGAAAGAGGATTCTAAGATCCTGTCACTCCTTGGATGTACGTGTAAGTGCTGGACCACACAGTATGACTTTCCCATAACAGTGAACAGCAAAACAACTATGGCTGATAAACCAGAGCAGTGATTATCTCATCACTTCTGTTAGCAAATTAGAGGCAACTCGCTGGAAGTGCACTGCATTGACCGTACCAATAAAATGCTTAAAGCCAGCATCCTAAACCAAAATTACCTTCACATTAAACGTTCCAAATATTCAATGTATCTGTGGAGTGTGTCAGCCATTGCAGCAGTGAGGAACAGTTTATTATGTAGTAATAACAACTTCAAAGCAGAGTTGAGTTTTACCTCCAGAGTCCTTTAGGATTTGAAATGCTTCCGATTAAGCTTTCAAGGTCCCTTGGCTCACATCACTTTTCCCAGCTCCCAAGAGGCTGGGACTCAGATTAATTTAGTTGCTCGCAGCAGGGTTTTAAAACAGAGATTTGTTTTGAAAATTAATTCAACTTTTTTTGTTTGTTTTGACGGCTACGTAATGCACAATTTCAGAAAATAAGCGGTTGGAATCTAGGCACTTTTACAAACACATTAATACCCACTCGCTGTTTAACAGGACAGAGCCTACACATCGAAACTGAACAACTTGATTTATTTAAAATTCACCTCAAAATCCATTTTTTAGCTTTTTTTTTTTTTTAATGAACATTCAAAGCATCAAAATATTACTAATTTTAAAAGAACCTTCGTTAAAAATAACATAATTTACGTATGGTAGATTGTGGTTGTGAGGGGAGAGAACCAACGAATGGTAGATTAGGCACAGTACTAAGGCCAACGTGTCAGAAAACAAAACAGCTGCATACTCAAATTTTAAGTGGACAAAATAAGACAACGGGGTGGGAAAACAAAACCAATAGCTTACTCGAGGGCAGTCGTGTAGAAAAAAAAGCGTTAGTAAGTTTTCTATCTAAATCTATCCTGTTCATGTATTTAAACAGCTCTATTTTCTTCCATATATCAAAAAAATTGTTTCTAAATCAAGGCAGATTATTATTTGGAACTGTCATAGTAAAATAAGGGATCACAGTATACAGAGCTTAAAATCCTGTACCAGGAAAGAGGAACGAGTGGTTTACAAGGGGATCATTTAAGTACATTATCTAATTTTTAAAACAGAGATATAAAATATCAGTTGCATAGGGATTTAAATATAAGGCCAAGCAGGAGATTAAAGTAAATAAAGACTGTAAGAAGGGCACTACGGTGTCAAAACATAGTATTTCCATTTGAATTAATGTCTAATTCAAAATCACAGTATTTTGCTAGTACTATAAACAGTGAATGTCAAACTGTCCCGTTAATCTCGAGCTGAAAACTGACATTAGAACTTCTAAACAGTACAAAACTAAAGCTCACTGTCTAAACCTGATCAGTGTATTAGCACAGTAGTGCTTGGTACGTACCTGATTTATATACTCTACCTTCTGTAAATAATATAAAGGTTATTTCTTGTTAATAAGTGTGAGATCACAATATTACTGCATGCCATCAGTGGTTTGCAGGCTTACTTGATATTTAATTACTCAGTCTTAAAAAGTGTGAGATCCCACCCTGCAGAATCTTCACCTATCAAACACAGAACACTGTCATTAATAAAATACAATAGAAGTTCCACCGCTAACAACTAACGTATAAGCCAGTATTGTAGGTCTAAACCCAGTATAGTTCATTATTATTAAATCACAGCAATTTTTGTTAGGAAGGTAACCTGAAGACTTCCAAATAATCTTTTGCATGTATTAAATATAAACAAGTACGTAACTAACGGTTACCTCTTGACACTTCAAGTAGATTATTCAACTGTGAAAGTATTTCTGCAAAAATTCGATTTTAACTTGTTAAAATGAAGTTCAAATATTAATTTCCATATCTACATGTAGCTTAATTAACCTAGAATCGTAAGGAATAGTAGTGTAAGGAAAAAAATTCTGCAAATGAATTAGGCATTAAGGTACACTAACTGGGAATACCTGAACCAACATTGTAACTGAAAAAGTGCATAAACATGGTAATACTACAAACGTGTTAACTACAGAACGAAAGGTTTTCTGAAAGCAAAGTGGTACTATTTTACACGTTATTTACAGGTTGCAAATTTTCCAGAGACCGCATAGCCAATTTATGATCTTAAACTCCTTTGATGCTTATGAAGTGTCCTTTGGCTTCCATCCTATTTGATCAAAAACCTATTCACACACCAGTGAATACCGTACAGTCAAGCATCAGAGCCATAATGGTTCTTCAAATCTTCAAAATTCATTCCTTTCTTTGTTCTTTCCGTTCTTTGAAGAACAAGCAGTGTTTTCACTTCACGCTTTTTGTGGGTGTTTCTGATTCTGTAGACTGTCGCCCATCAGTCCATGCCTCTCGCGTGCTCTTCAGTGCAAGTGTTTTCTGCTGGTCAACTACAACATAATCAACTCTTTCATCCGCCACGCTGCTGCCTGAACCGCTGCTCTTCTTCTGGATAAAGAGAGAATGAAAAAAACAAGTTAAACTAATAACTCGTTAATTAGAAAACTAAGTACATATCTCAAACGTATATAGAACAAGCACAGGTTTCTCTGAAGAGTGTGACAGAGCCCTTCTGATCGACCTTTGGACAAACCAAATGGGGCGATCTTGCTGGAGGCTCTTTCCCAGCAGCTACTTGTAAAGAAATCCCAAGCTGTTTGTGCCGATCATTTGAAAAGTCAGGACTTGCTTACCTTACGAGGTGGCGTAGATTTTCCTGAATCTAGGTCCAGATCTAAATATTCTACTTGCTTATCTCCTTTAGGTTTTACCATGGGGCTGCTTCCTCCATCAAGACTGTTGCTACCGAACAAATTCTGAAATTGTAACATAAAGAACTTCAGCTGCTAATGTACATGCTAACAACCCGAATTATCAAATACGCTTATTATAAACTGTCAAAACATTGAAGGTAAAAGAACTGAGTTTTTACAACCAGTTAAGCCATGCAAGTTTTGTTGACGTTATGCAACAAGTAGATATAGTCAAATTAAACAGAAATGAAACAAAGTTGAGCTTGGGGCAAAATCAAAAGCCAAAGGGAGCAGACGGAAGGAAACCAAAAGCCGCCCCCCCCAAAGTTAAGATTGTCATCAAATCAATCTGTACCTTCCACCTAATACCCCTCTCATATCATGAGGTAATAATGGAATTGCTTTGGTGTTTCACATCTGAAGTTTAACATTTCTTAACTACAATTAAAAAAAAAAAAACAACTTCAAATTGCTATTAAGTATCTTACAAGAATTTCAGCCTTTCAACAGTAGCAAAGCTTCAAGCGTGACTTTTCAATTTCGCTCAAAGCTATTGTAATTAAGCTTAAAACCAAAAGGTATTATTCAAGTTAATAAAACTAAAAGATTATCACTTTGGATAATTTGTGCAGGACTGCCTAAACTGAAGTTGCATATACCTACATTTCAATTAGCCCAGACTTTTACAACCTCACCTCCTCTGTCCTCTCCCAGCCTGATCCCTCCCTCTTAACAGGTGTTATAGGAACAGTACAATAGAAGGACTCTTCTCTAAAAGATAAAGAAAAAAAGGAAGACAGAGGGCAGCAGTCAGCAAAAAATGAAGAGGAAGGCAGAAGGAAAGACAGAAGGATAAGGCTGACAGCAACTTGAAGGAGAGAGCAGAACATTGCTGATTTTATTAAATAAAACAGAAGTGCAGCGTGTCCAAATGATGATTCAATGCTGATGACAGAAGGATTTTAAAAGTATGGAGTTCTCACTAAGATATAGCCAAAGCAAAAAAAAAAAAAAAAAAAAAATTTCTGAGACATCTACACATGTTTTAAAACAAAGGCCTTGGGATGCCTGGAAACATTCAGGTTCTCTAGGAAATAAAATATTTTATTGGTTAGAGCTTAACAGGCTGGGCTTTTAAGATTCATGCTGTTATAGATTACGTCTGTATCATCCAACGTATTAAGTGATAACAATGACAAACAAACAACAGGCAAAGTTTTTGTTGCCCAAATCCTCTAAATATATTTCTTAATATTTAACACAAAAAGCAGCATCTGTGTTAAGGTTTCCAGCACAAATTAAAAGAAAAAAAAAGCTCATTAAACATCTTTTTATCTCAAGCAAACTAAACAGGTAGAACATAGGTATAAGAAATGAAACTTAAAATACACTTAAATGAAGATGGAAGAAAATCTGTAGAACAACCCTGGAAAATGAATGGTGCAAGCAAACAGAAGGATACTAATGATAGGCTGTCTCAGCTGCAATACTAAAAGCACTATCTTAGCACTCATTGTAAGAATCAGCAGAAATCCCCACTCCTAATTGCAATGCTGCAATTTTACTGGCGGTAGGAGGCGATTCCAAACCTTTGCAAAACAGGACATTTCTCACATCTCTATAAGGGGATGTTACTGATTACTTACCAGTGCCTCTTGCACAGTACTCTACGAGGAGCTAAGTTTTTACATCACTGGCTCCCCACTGCTGAAGTGCACTTCACCTAGGAAGCACACCTGTGCTGCTGACAGGTCAGAGAGACATCGAGCAAAGCATGAGCCTAGACTTTCTGGCTTGCAAGCTTATACCAAGTCACAAGTGCCACTGAGAAACCAGCAGGAGGGGCTCACTCTGGGGGTCGTAAAAGGTGGTATCCATAGACAGCTACAGAGCACGAGGGGAAGGAGACTGGAGGAGACCAGGGAGGGTTTCTGGGACAGCAGGAAATAGGGTAGCAAGCAGCACTGCGAAGAGACAAGGGTTAAGTGAAATGGGATAGCACATGCCATATAAGGCAGCAGAGTAACGAAAAGAACAAAAACAGAGGTAAGCAGGTTCTGCCTCAAAGAAGATTTGGAAACCACAGCTTGATACAGCTTTAAAGATGAAAAACAGATTCCCTAGCAAGAAATCCAAGCAGCAAAAAACACAGTAATCACACTGAAACTACTCTGAACTAAAAACTGAGGTAGAAGCGCAGATTTTCCCCCAGCGTTTCAAGGCTATTATGGATTGTGTTTCATTTTAGGCCTAGGTTTACTGCTATCCTTTCACTTCAAAATTTTTGTATTTTCCTGTACTCTCTCCTGAAGAAAACTAAAACAAAAAACCACAGCGTATCAGTAACTTCTCTTACCTAGCTCTTCAATGGATGCTAAACATTTGAGACACCACCATCCAAAAAAGTTCTCCCCAAAAAAGGAAAAATAAGCAACGTATCAAACTTCCCCTCCCCCTGCTCTGGACCCTCCACATTTCTCAAATGTCCTTTTAATAAAGGTTTTAAGCCTGTCTTAGAGAACATATGATAGCTCATTTTCCTTGATGTCCTGATATTGAACTGCTGCATGGTTTAGAACTATCTACTGAAGACAAGACAGTTTCTACGGAAGAGAAAAATAAGTAATCTGCTTATCTATTTTGCAGAGTCTAAACATATGCTAACTACAGTCTCTACATATGATTATGCTCGTGTCTTCCTTAGCGAAATCTTATCAAAATTACACTTGCAGTAGAGGGGTAATTTTATTTTTTTCCAATTTTGATCTAGAAGTACAAATGAAGGTGATGTTGAGCGGAAGGATTTGAGTGGAAGGATTTGTGTTTGCATGATTTAGAAGTAAGGACTGCACAGGAAGAGAGGAGTTAAGATGTAGATTTTACATACTGGGTCTTCAGTGGACTGATTTGGATTCATGGATACATAATTCTCTTCACTGTCGTGCGAGTCACTGCTGGAAGTTGTGCTATGAACTGAATCCGGTCTGGGAGACATGGGAAACCTGGAGGAGCTAATTACCAGGAATTATTTTACAAACAATACATCTTGAATATCTTAAACCTCCTGGTAAACAACAAAAATAAGCACGTTAGAGCTGGAATCTTCATTCAAGACTACTAGAGCGTCTCATTGTTTGGTTATACAGTCCTTTACATACATTATTACAAAACAAGAATTAATATTGACGTACTTTTGTCTTAATGCACGCATATGCATACACATAGTTCCAAAGGAAACTTCAATCTGTATTACACAGGCTGAAAATACAACACAGATGTATCTACATATTATTAACGCTATAGTCAACAAAAACAATCCAAATGAAGAAAAGCTAGGAAACTTACTCTCGTGCAAAGCTTCTGGTGATAGGAGATCTAACTGGGGCTTGTAATTCTTCCCATTCAGGCAAAGGTTTTATTTCTAGTGGAGCTGGTTTTGCTATATAAGAACACAAGCACAGAACGTTCTTAAACAAACTTAAATTTAATAGCTTTTCAAATTTTAATGCCAAAAAGAAATACTGTTTATTAAACAGCAAACACTAGTTAAGAAGAGACACTTCCATTCTCATAAAGCTATGACATATCAACTTACGTTTTACGCTTTCCAGTTACGGAACAGCAACAGTATTTAAAAAAAACACAATTTAAGAATTTTGCAAGGTAGACACGTACATAGTAATTCTATTTCGAAAAGAGACTGAAAATGGCATCAAGTTCTGCGGCACAACGACTGGCTGAACTGATAAGTACAGATGGGGCTGACTGACAGTTTCAGCCTTAAAATGCAAGCATAGCCAACTTTGAATGCTTTTATTGGCTTGTGGACTATTATTATTATGCAAACTCTGCCCTCACTGCACAGGTCTCCTTACGGATTAGGTTTCACAGCTCAAAGCATGAGCAAAATATTAAACTATGATTAAGTTTGCAAAATGGAGAGATGAGCCAATAGCTAGTTGCAATGCCAAAAGGTGCTTGGCTTGCTTCAGAGCTCATCAACTAGAGAGCAGAGCAGCAGCATGCTGGTGCCACCAGAGACGGCTAACATGCCATTTTTAAGTTCCATTTTCAGAACAGAACCACAAGTTGAGTATTAGTGAGAAACATCATCCCTCCTTCCGATATCTATGATTCACCCCTTCCTCAACAATAATATATATATATTAAAGGAAGATCATGAGACTTTGCAGAGGAAAAAATGACACAAACTATTGTCATAGTTTGTTTCTGAACTTCAACCTTCTTAAAAACTGTTTTAAGAAAATGAAATGCAATGCCATTTCAGTAACATCCAGCTCCCCCCCCCCCCAAATCATCTGCTTGCGGCACATTAACAAATTCACCAAGATCAAATGTCAGGCATGCAGAGTAAAAGCTCTCTTAAGAGACCACATGAGGAACTGACAGAAATCAGTTGCTTAATCAGTGTGGTCATCTTGCAAGGAACAAACAGAACTGCACTCATGACACTTTCGTTATGCTCTCTCTTCAGACAGAGTTCATCGCGGAGTCAGCTGTCTTACATATCAAACATAAGGACGCATGATTCACATTTTCTGGTTAGGTATCACTCTTCAGCATCCCTAACAGTTTTCCCTTTTAATTAGAAAATCATAATTACTCAAAGCACATCAAGCCTGATTCAGTAGTTCTGCCACTTAACTTGCTTATATAAGACCTGTCAGCACAGCCTCTGAAGAGGACCAACAACACACCTATGTCAAGGTGCCAGGTATCACAGGAGACAGGGTGGCAGAGCTGAACTTTACATCGGTGGGATGATACTGAAGACTAAGTGACAGTAATTATCAGTTTGGCCACAGCCTTCTGTGGAGGCCAGAAGCTAAATGGCAAGTATAATCAGTGGCCAAGGTATCACTCCAGCAGAAAGAATAAGGACCTTGTCCAAAGTCCTCTGAGAATAGAAGGAACATTTCACCCAGTTGCAATTGGCTTTAATACCCAAAAGTACCGTCCTGTAAAACTTCTGTGAGATTTTTAACATTATCTACAATTTCCTCTACCACACGTGACCATATGAAGAGCCACCTCAACAGCCTAAATAATGCCCAGACTAATTGTGATATTCATATAGTTTCATACATAAATTACACTGCATTAATATATGGTCATGGGAAGAGTTTTTGGCCTTATTTCAATCCTCATCCAACAACAAGAGACCCAAATAAACTGTGAATTCACAATCATTTCCTAATGAAAGATATTTCAAGCAACTTACAGGTGAATAATACATGTTTCTAAAGAAATAAAAAAGTAAATCCATAATATGAATAACTGAAATTTAAGAGATTTAGTACCTGTGTTAACACCAAAATAATGCATTCATGCACTCTTTACAAGAGAAAGTTTTTACTTTCCTATACAGGATGTCTTTTGCTCAGCAAGGTATATGCATCCTTGATCTTAGATTATAATAGAAGTAAGAAGACTATAGGAGAGATATACAATAACAGTTCCTTTAATTTTTGTTTTATTTCTATAAAGCTCCATAAACATACAGTGCTAGAGTACATACCCTTTCTTCTTGTAGTAAAGTCACCTATGGTTTGTGAATCAGTTCGCTCTAAACCATGTGGTTTAGGTCTTAAAATTTTAGGACTTTGACCTAATTGGCAAAAAGAAGACTCTCTTAATAAAATATTCTTTTTAAAATTGAAAAATGGAATTTTGTAAATAAACAGCACAGTCCCCTGCAGAAAGGTTACCACCACAAGCATAAGCAAGCTGCTGAAGGAAGAGTTTTACAATCTATAGCTAGGTTTCACGCTGAAGCCGTAAGCACCAAACTTGACACAAATAAAATAGTGCATGCAAGTAATTCGCTAGAGGCAAGCATAAAAGCTGTACAAAAAAGCCCAAAGGTGCATCAACAAATTTTGCAACTGATCATCAGTTGCTTTCAAGCTGTATTGCATAAAAAACACCAGAAACGTATTTAAGGAATGCTCCAGCACGACAGGAGAATAGTTACCTTTCAGATGTGAGTTAAGTTACTTACAAACAAATTAAGTCCTTTTCAGTGAAATTACTACAGTATTGGGAAGCATCCTATTCACCACACACTCCCTTCACCTGAGAAGTCCTCAGAGTTCCATATCAACCTGCACCAAAATCACCCCCCCGACTTGCAGAAACTGAGTGACCTTCTCTCCAAGCTCCCAGTCTGCACTCTGCTCCCCACCAGAGCACACATGGCCTTCACCACAAATGGCCTTATCACAAAGCAAAGTCAATTAAATATATATATTTTTAATTGTTCATGGCCATCTGCAAATGCAATAGATGCACTAATCATTCTCTAATATGCTGCACTATCACAGAATGCCATATTTTGGACTAATCTAGTAAAAAAACAGAGTGCAAAATAAGAACACATTTTAATTGAATAGCTTTCACGTGGGAAGAAGGATACTTCCTTTCAGTATGGAAGTTGTTTGCCAATTTAAAACCCTGCAAGCAGTCCCGGTCATGCTGTGTATTTTAAATATGATCAATAATACACGATAACAACAATCTTTTGAGTAAGTCTACGCGACAAAATGTTTAATACTAGGAAAAGCAAGTGTCTCCAGGTGGTACACCAAGAAGCCATATGAGAAAGGTAAATCTTCACAATAAATCAAGTAAGTTTAAGACTGTTTATATTCAAAAGTTGCCCTACAGCAAAAAAATATGGGAAAGGACTGGCACAGAGTCAAATGTGGGCTTGCACTACCAGCAGTGAGCAAGAATGCTTTCTAAAGAAGAAAATTTGGCAAGAACACTGGGACTTTGCAAATCTCAACCTGAAGGGTTTTGCATGCAAAGAGCCCCATTACTGTTATCGCTAAGCATTGGGAATAATCAAATAATAAGAAAAGTAAACAGAAAGGTTTTGTACTATATCTAAACATTTACACACTGCTTCTGAGAGACCATGCAGTGTATTTATTTACTAATATTGTTGCATAGCAACTTTCTTAAAAATAAGAGAAGAAAAAGAACAGACTTTCACACAACTGTTTTTTCTTTTCAAGAACAGATACTGTCTTAAGTGGCTAGAAGTGCTGACAAAAAGAGCACCCAGGCAAATGCTGACCAAAGACCTGGATTACAAGTGGTACTCACAGTAACTCTGTCAAGTGTGCTGTTGGCTAGAGCTAAGCATGACCCAGCATGTTGGCCAAGTTTATTCTGTGCTGATTCGATATTCTTGAGTACCTGACCTACAACTATGATAAATGCTTGCCTATAGAAAAAGACCACGGTCCCCAAATCAATTGAACAGATTTACAAGTTAAAATTCAAGTATCTTGTACTAACAACAACTTGATGCTGATTATCATCACCTACTCATATCAACTCTCCATTCCAGTTTCATAATCTGATTTAGAAGAAATTCAGGCTGATACCACTCTATTTAAAGTGTCAATAATGTATTAACACATGAGCATAGATCAGGAGTACAGTGAAAAATCAAGCAGAGGTAGCAGGGTAATGGAATAATTTAATCAGTGTGTACTTTATAACCTCTCTACTCCTGCAGGTTGAAGTGACTGAAACCCGTTGTATTGAGAGGTAAGCACAACCTTAGCAGTCTGGGTCCACGAGTCATTATTTTTGCTTTTAGTAATGATTCAATGTGGTCTTGTGCAGTCAACCTCCCTGAACTATATTATCACCCCCATTTGTAAAATACAGATATTATCTAACTGCCTGCTTCATACTTAATTTTGCATTCAGAAACTGTTCTGAGACTTTCTGAAGTACCTGCTATATAAGTAAGTACAGGTCCCTGTAATATTTCTCCTATGCAACAGACAAGAATATACAAGATGTTCCTGCTTAAAATAGACACGTGCAGTTTTTATCCTCTTTCTGCTGAAAAAATTGTTCAGTCTGAAATAAATTTGGTGGCAAATCAGCTTGTTGTTATTGGGATAATGGAATGACCTTAGTTTGCCACAGGAAATTAAAATACTTGTATATTCCCCTTCCTTCCCCCTCCCCCAAACCAAAAAGCCTAATCTCTTCTGAGTAGCTCATACTGCAACAGAAAGACCTGACACCAAGCAAAGGAAAAGGAGCTGTGGAGAAACCACAGTCATGAAACTGATGTTTCTTGTTTCAGTCTGTACCGCAGAATTCTTCCATCCTGTTTCTGTTCATGAAAAAAATAAAATAACAGAAATCCTTTGATAAAACTCTTCACTCCATCAAAAAGAACATCTTAAATAAATGTGTCAGAAGTTTTAAAAATTGTCATTCCTTGTCCAAAAATAGGCAGTTCCTCCACTATCTTAGTTGCATCTTTGAACAGAAATACAAGTTCTTAGAATTTAAAAAACCTAAGTCCCACAACTGAAGGTCCTGGTGCTGAGCCAGAGTAACCTTGCTGCTTTGCTCCTCAGAGCTTCTAAAAAGCCCTCAGAGTAAAGAGCTGAATACAATACACAGAAAATGCAGCGTACCTGTACAACAGAATGTTCTTCACCATTTATTCTCAGAAATAATCTCCTAAAAAGTGGCATAGGGCCACTCTTCTAGTCAGTTTCCTACAGGAGAAAATACACAAGGGCTCTGTGGAGAGCACGTGGCTCCACTTGGCATTCCAGCTCCAGGGACACTACAGAATGATTTAGGCCCACAGACCCAAGCTGACCCCAGCTAATATTCAGGCACTCAACACATGACAACAACTTATTTGCAAAACTATTCTGGGAAAGGTAAGCCTGGGTCTACATACAGTTTATTTATTTATTTTTAAACTAAAGAAAACGAGACAACTAAAAAGCCCAATGGGAAAAAAAAGCAACCAAAAAAATACGTTACGGCTAGTGAAACCAATCAAACAAGAAGTGAAAATTAAGATGTTTTTATTGTTCAGTGAAATCAGCACTTGTGAAATGCAAAACAATACAGCTAGAAAAAACCCTCAGTTTCTACACGGTGATACAACTGTGCAAGGGCATTCTTGAGATGAAACAGATCTAAAGAAGCCTACTTCTCTGAGAAACGGTTGCTTGCAAAAACTGCCCAGTAGAACAGGCGATTACAAATCCAGCTTTAGAGTGCACTCAGACGGCATGAATTCTGCTCCTGGCATTTCAGCATGCATCAATGCTGCCTTTGTCTAAGAATTCATCAGGAAAAGAATCATTTGTTTGACTTTGTTTCCAATAACGCTTTAAATTAAAAAAAAAAAAAAAATCTTTCTTTATTAATTGGCTGATGCAGTCTCTTCTTGTTTTCCATAGAACACGTGACATATGATGCTGGGGGTAGGCAGTGGGAAGGTGTACCACTACAGCCAAGTCCTGCATCACAGTAGTTAGGCCCTAACATTTCTTCTTTTAAGGACACAAAACGTAATCACTGAAGAGCCTCATTTTGCTTTCAGGCTATAACCTTGAAGCACTACTGCTAACAAGACTTCTGTTAAAAACACTTTTTGACTAGTCGCTTGCTGGCAATGGATTTTACATCAGGAAATTGCAAATATCCTCGTAAAAGAGGCCAAAAGACTCCTTAAGCACCAGCTATTTAGGGCTTAAATTTTTAAAGTAAATTTACTAACGTGACATAACATTTCAGAGATGTGTGATCTGTTAATGCTGTTTCCTGGCCAACAGGACTCTAATCCTCACGAGACAAGGAGATCAGACGTAGGAATGCTATAGCACTGCTTTACTTGGACTAGAAGGGGGAGAGCAAGAGGGAAAAACAGCCACATTAGTGTCCTGCATCAACAAAAGAACTTTTAGAAAGGCATAACTAATAACAGTTTTCAATTCCCATTAAAAAAATATGCATCTTTCTCTGTGTATTCAGAAGAAGCTGAAATTTGCAGAGGTCCCAAGAATATCAGTACTCTAAATCATTGCGGTTTTTTCCTTAAAAAAAAAAAAAGTCAAGACTGAAGCTCAGTCTTAGTCCCACAGGGTTTATTATTTGACTTTCAGTTCTGCAGAATAACCTCCCCCTTTCCTTCGCTTCCCTTTCCTCACTCGAGTGAACTCAGATTCCTGAGTACATGGCTTCAACACAGAGCTCTACAAATATCCTGAATTTGCTTTTTTTTAAAAAAAATTGTTTTTAGAAAGACTGTTTCCTGCCACGGTACTTCTAATTAGAAACATGTATTTAGTTACGTAACATTCATATCCATTCCCATACTAGCACCCAACAATAAATAGGAATAACAATATGGTACTCAGATCTGGTCAGTGGTACCACATGGATGACGACAATTAGTCTTCTCATAACAGTAAAAATAAAGTGAAATCAGCTCAGGCTTTCAGTATTACGAATTTACAAGGCAGTCATCTGAAGAGGTACTCTCCAATTTTCTTAGACACCTTTCTCGTCTCCAAATAGTTCATCTCAGAACACTGGCACTTTGAATACTCCCAAAATTAAGAATGAATTGTTAAAAAAAAAAAAAAAAAGGGACTATGAAGTCAAACTGCATCTGACAGCTAAGGTTCACTGGTATTCATAAAATGCTTGGCAAATGTCAGAAAAACTACTTTGAGAATACCAAAGCTATTAATCAGCCAAATACTATTTGACTGCTCTAATTTGCAAGTAATTCTCCATGTTTATATTTAAAAATCCCTTATTGTA